CTCCAATTTATTCACTCTTTATATGAGACCAGGTTTATTTTAGCTCGGCTACTATTCAGTTGTGTAACTGTAGGCAACTCTTCAACCCTTTGGGACTGTTTTCACATGCATAAAGTATAAATGATTCTTGAATCTAAGTCTATAAACATACCTTTACCCTAACATGTGGGGAGACCCCCCCCAAAAAATGGAATTATCTTTTGGGGGGGCCCTTGTAGTATACTCGGAATTTGTTCCTCTGGATCAATCTGTCAACGAAAGTTTTTATCTGGACATTTTCAGGTGGTTGCATCACAATTCGCAGAAGAAACATCCTGAGTTGTGGCAAACAGGTGACTGGGTCTTCTACCATGACAATGGACTTACCCACACCATGCTGAGTGCCCAGCAGTGTTTAACCAAAAATGGCATGATCCCAATGACCTATACTCACTGTTTAACTGAGCTTGCCTTCAGTAACTTTTTTGGTTTCCTTGGATGAAAAAAGTCCTCAAAGGGAAATGTTTCGCCAATGTGGAATAAGTGAAACAAAAAGTGGCAGAAGCACTAAAAGTCACCAAAATTGATGAGGGCAAAAACTGTCTTGATCAGTGGGAAAAAAAATTCAATAGGAGTATTGCATCAAACGAAGAATACCTTGAAGGCAACTGAAGTTTAAACGAGTAGGAATACACTACTTTTTACAAATAAATTCTGGTTTGGGGGGGGTCCCCCCTCATATGTACTAGTTTATTGACCTGAATAAATTATGCATTTTTTCCAAGTATCAATGTCTTCATTTTTAAATGAAAACAGCAATATTTAACTCATTGGGTTGATGTGAGGATGGCATGAGGTAATACCTGTAAGGAGAAAATTGGGGATCAATGGATACAAAGACATTTAGAGGCAAGCAGGAGTAAGTTCCAAAGGCAGGTCATTCTTTCCAGAAGTTTGACAGTGATAGAAGGGGGGGGATGTCTAAATGAAATAACAAGAATCCCGATGGAAGATTGTTTTGAAGGAGAAACAATGCTAGTGCATCTGAGGAATTGCGAAGAACCTGAGGATGCTTGTAGAAAGGAAGATATATCTGAAGGTCTCTGAGTCAGAAGAAGTTGAAGAGTATTCTATGGAGAGCAGAGGTAAGGAGGTCAGTCTTGGTAAGGTGAAAAAACATCAGCAACCGGAAGGGAAGATAAACAGGTGAAAATGCAAAGAAGTTTTAAGGAATTGAGTCTGGAGCTGCGATTATGTTCCTGGCCCCCAAGGACCTTGGCAGTTTACAGCTTGTTAATGGTGTCTGCCTAGGATTTTCTCATGAGTCACCCTACACCAGGTTTACACTGTGAAAACTGTCAGTCTGCCAGAACCATGTGACATCATAAGATGTCGTTATTATTTCCAAGCGAAAAGCAACATATAGCTATCTAACACAACATCACTGAGGAAGTCCCTGCTTACATCTCGGTGCCACAGCATTCCTACTTAGGGGAGGGCCTATAAATTAAGCGATTAAAAGGATCAGGCAGGAATCTAGGGGAATGTAATGCTGGGGATATCTCATAAGGGTCATAAAGCTTTAAATTTTTTTTTTTTTTAATTTTTATTTTAAAGATGTTGGGTGCAGTTCAGGGTTAGGTATACAAATGGTCATTGTGCAGATAAAGATTTCTAAGCATCCAACTACTTGTAACAGTTTGGTTTTTGCAACATTTGGAATATTTTGTTCAAGCCATTAATTGTTTCATTAGGAAAGTGTTACTCAGGATCTCACTTCTCCCTGACTGGAGTAACTAAGGGAAGTAAGGAGAACACTTGGGGATGCTTAACTGGTTCTCCAAATTATGCAGAAATTTAAAAATGACTTTGTGAAAAAGAGGAAGGCTTTTTTGTTTCTTTATCCTTCACACCAAAGAATTTATAATTTCTTACAGAGGGGAGAATCCATGAATATCTTTTCCCTAGAAAGCTGGGACAAAACCGAGCCTCTAAACAATGGGACTCCCTGGACTCTGCCCATAAAATTGAACATTTAAAAAAAATTCCATCATCAACTATGAGTCTGGTAGACTGCTAGTCTTTTCCCTGTTATGTACAAAACCCCTACTTAAGCTGCCTTAAGCTGGACTATGATTCTGAATTTGTCATCTCTTCAGTGGCATACCAAGAGCAAAACAGTGAGTGAGCCCAGCTCAGATGCAGGCAATAAGTGGTGCACACTCTGCAGAGAATAAGCAACAATAACAAATTCCACTACAAGTTGGTCTGCTTTTATTATTACCACATGTTGGCAATTCTTAACAATGTCGGAAACAAAATATACCTCCTACCAGGCACCCTGCCCTGGGTACCCTGTTATCCTCTCCCCAACAATTACTCTTTCCTTTCTGCAATGCATTTACTGTCCTATTTTGTGTTCACCCCAACTGCACAGGTATTAATACCTCTGCCTCTAAGTCTCAGTTTGGAGACTACAGAGCCTTGAGACAGGCGATAAGGGGTTTGGAGAAGGACAAGCAAGCTGCAAGCAGCAAATATAGTTTCTGAGGAAAGTTAGCCTCTCAATGAGTCCAAACCCCAGGTACAGCCCTTGACTCTCTCAACAGTGACCTTTTCCTAGACAGCATTTTCCACATTTATAGTACCTGAAGGTTCTATAAATATTGGCTCCACATCAATGGGCTTGAAAATTAGGCAGTAACAGATTATTGCAGATTGTCCCTCCCAGAAGTACCTACAGAACTGCTCTGGATGAGTCTGAGACTGTCACAAAAGGGAGCCCTGTCCCTTTTTATCTAGGGCATCTTCCCCGCCCCCATGTCTATCATGACTCCCTGCAAGCTCAACTGCCTAAGGGCTGTTGAGATGCCAAATAAAATAAAAGCATTTCCTTGATTGAAGAAAAAGTCTGAGAAAGCTCTTTCATGGCATTAACATACATTCAAACATACAATCAAATTAAAAATAAAGTTTGTACTACACAAGTGAAAAAAAATTATTCCCTGACTATTATCCTATAATCTTCCATGTCTCCAAAAAAAAGCTGGTGAAGAAAATGGAGCACCTTCTTCTGCAGATTACTCTCAGTGAGTTGAAGAGGTTGGATGACTTTTGGGATGTTGTGCTTTAAAATTCTCAATATTAAACCACCTAGATCTCTTATATCGCCCTTTATGATAGGCCCCAGATGCCAACAGACAAATCAATCAACTTAAAGGACAGTACCAACTAGCCGTGATAGGACAATATTGTGTGATTTAACCTCAGTTTCAAGATCCAGATGTTGAAGTTGACATGAAGAGAAAGTATCAGTGCTCACATTAAAACTATTGTCCTCAGCATAATGGAGGAGGTGCAGCATATCTCACTAGCCTTTTCCTACCTTAAAATCAGCTTATACCCTCAAAGAATCATCCATTCCACCTAAACAATGTCCTAAGTAAATAAGTAGACATGGCGCCTGCCCTAGAAATTCACATGCTGGAGGTTGGATGATGCCATCAAGGTTTTCCAATTCTTTCAGGGACTAAAAAGAACAGGAGGTGAGTAGCAAATGTAGCTCCTGAGGAAAATTCCAAAGAGCCCCATCTGGAAAGACTTGGGAGTTCCCCTTTCTTGCTTTCATTCCGTAACTGGGTTTGCCATTGCGAGTCTGACTCAACCCAATCCTCATGGAAGCCAAATTACCCGCAAGGGTATCTCCGCTCCAGAAGAGCCTCTCGCTACCATCTCCCACACACACAAATAAAAAGTTTTCTGCTTTCTTATTTTGAAATTGACATGATTGCCCACTGGAGGGTGCTGAATTTATGCATTGTTAAAAACTGTAATAATACCGATAATCATAAAAATTTGGTAACTACCTAAAATGCTTTATAATGATGTACAACACACATGCAATCATAAAAAAAAGATGTTCACAAAGGAGTTCTAATGACTTGGCAAAGTGATCTCTATATAACATTAAAATCCTAAAGATAGGCCACAAGACTATAAAAAAAAATTTGATCTCAAATTATTTTTAAAATGCAAGTAAGAAAATGACTGGAATAAAGCATAACAAGATAATATTATGGATGAGTTTTATAGATAATTGAATATGTACTATTCTTAAATTAAAAATTAATACAATGAGCTAATATATGTAAAGTATATAGTCATGTCGTACATAGTTAACACTACACATATTTTTGTATTATACATATACAACACAAATATAATAAACAGTTATTTTTAAAATAAGTTAAAATAATAACAGCTTATAGACATGTGATTCTAGAAAGTTGTTTTTAACTCTTTCAAATATATTACTCACTATTTTGTCATCATAATAGCCTACAAGCTATACCAGTGGAAGTATAATTATTTTTATTAAACAAATTATAAGAAAAATAGTTTTAAATAAGCAAGTATCAAGATGTAATAAAATGTGCCGGGTTCGGTGGCTCAGCCTGTAATCCCGCACCTTTGGGAGGCTGAGATTGCCTGAGCCCGCGGGTTCGAGACCTGCCTGGGCAGCAAGACCTCATCTCTACAATAAATCAAAAAATCAGCCGGGCATGGTAGCGCATGCCTGTAATTCCGGCTACTCGGAAGGCTGAGGTGGAAGGATCTCCGGAGACCAGCAGGTCGAGGCTGCGGTGGCCAGGAGCGGCCACTGCACTCCAGTCTGGCGACAGAGTGAGACTCCAACTCAAAAAAAAAAAAGATGTAATAAAATATAAGTTAGTACTTAAGTAAGTTAAAAATGCAAGAAATCTCTTCAAGATGCAAAAGTTTAAAGATAAAACACTGGTCTCCATTCTTCTGGAGATTTTTAAAAAAGACAAAATACAACAAGAAAACAAAACACAAAAATCATGTGGATCTTCCACCCATACAACATATTCCAAGTCGATCTAAAATTCACATTATAAATAATGAAATAGTAATGAGTTCATCTCCGATTTCAGTGTCAGTTTCAAGCATTAAACAAGTTTTGGAAATGAGTCAACTTAATCACATTTAAATCCTCTTACCTGTCATTAGACATAAACTTACGATGATCATTATGATGAGACCTAGGAAAATAGAGGTGATGACCATCCACAGCTTACACCTTCCAAACAAATTCTTATTGCAAGAGCTCCAGGGGCTTTCCTTGGTAGTCTAGAAGGCAGAGGAAGATTGTGAGGCAGTCATTTGGTTTCAACGAACGTTTTTAAACACCTCCCAGCGGCCAGTGATACAGAAATGAGGACAGCAGGAGCCTGACCTGGTGGGGGTGGGGTGCTATACTCTACTTATCAAATTTCAAAAAGATACATCTGGGGCAGAATGAAACCTTACAAAGAAGTTAGCAAGAAAATGCTCTAGAGGTTCTGAGGTGGGCAGGGTAAGAAGGATTTTGAAAGGCGGATTTTTTAATACATCCAAGCCCAGGAAACAGCATCCATGGTGTTGATTCATAAGAGAACTTGCCAACAGACTAGTCTGATGATCGGAATGTGGGTTTCAAAGGCAAGTAATGAAAGTTAAGATTACAGAGTGAAAACATCCTCCGGAGTGTTTTGATTGCTGCCAGAATCGTTTGGACTTAATTTGATGTGCTCAGGTGACCTGCTGAAGGTTTTGGAATACAAGAGCTGATTTCAAAGATAAGAGAAAAACAGTGTGTAGTTTGGACTAGACACACCAAGAAAGAGCTACAAGACTACTGCATGGCCCAGATTCTGTGTAAAGAAGGCCTGGGAAGGGAGATGAAGGGACAGATGCAAGAGCCAGTAGGAAATCAGCTGCAGAGCGTGAAGTGAGGCAGAGGAGAGTCCAAGGAAAACAGTGACAACCGCTATGGTTTATTGAGCACCAGTGTCATTTCATTTACTCCTAACAACTCTTCAAGTCATGAATAAACCCATTTCAAAGATACAAGTCACAAAGACTAGCCAGGACTAATCCCTGCTATGTGTCACTTCAAAGTCCTCCAACTCTCCTTTTTGCGCACTGCCTCCTGGCATCCCTGTGTGTTGCCCAGGTTTTGAGGGTGCCAGGCAGAGGTTCCCACCTACTCAGAAACGGTCCCATGACCCTTCTGCTTCCCACTATGCCTTTAGATAATTTCAACATAAAGACCATGTGAATCAATGGAATATAATAGGGAAAAAATATGCTTCTGCATCAGACATACCTGGACGCCAATCCGAGGCATACCACTTAACAACAGGGCGACTTTAAGCAAGCTGCTGAAACTCGCAGACCTCAATGTTCCCAACTTTAAAATATATAAATCTGGTTCACAGGGCTGTTGCAAAACTAGAGATGATAGACACCAAGCATCTGCTAAACAAATACTGGGAACTTGACCAAGAGGAGCAGACACTCCTCAGTTATTACTCAGGGTTCACAGTCCCATAGTGCAGCAGCCGGCACTTGAGAAGATTTACTCCTGAACTGACACCTTGTTTACTTTCCCTCCCATACTTATCATGGTGGTGACCATCAGAAAAGGAAGTTGTTAGTCTACATTCGGACTACATTTCACACTTTCTCAGAGGTGCCCAAGCCTGGTTGCACATCAGAATCACCTGGGGAGGATTTTAACTGACAGATACTCACCTGTGCTTAGTGGACAGACTTGTAGGAGAGATGGGAACAGGCCCTGGCTTGTCATTTGAAACTTCCCCAAATGAATCAAGACTGAGACCTCTGGTCTGATGCCTCCCATCCTTCAGGAGCCAGGTCACATCTCCCCTTTAATGGAAGGTTTCCTTCCCACCGCCCTCAATGAGATGGCCCAGAACATGAGCTACCTGCATAGCTCATCCCTTGCTGGCATTGGCTGCCATTTCTGATTTCATGTTCAAATACAAATAGAGATTGGCCGTATCTTCCTGGGTAAATTGAAACTACATAGAGGGTGGAGCAGCTCTTAAACTTTCCAGTTCTTATATTCCACACTTGTGCCTCCTACAGTTAATAGACACGTAATGTGTGTTGCTTAGTTGTAGAGGGTGCCAACAATTTTAAGAATGTACTTTGAGAAATTCTAGAGGAGGGGGGATCAAATGTTGGAGCCCCTTAGTGCACTTTGCACTGGCTCCTAGGCCAGCCTGCCACTGGTGAGAGCGCAGCAGTAAAGGCCCTGGGAATCTGGAGTCAAAAAATAGGGCCACGTCTCAGAGAATAGGGCCACCCCCACTCAGAGAGAGCAGAACTGCTCCAAAGCCACCAAAACCAAAGGCTCTATAAGGCATGGGAAAAAAGACGTCCCAGGACAAGGAATCTTTCCCTTCTCAGGGGACAGAAATATATCGTCACACTTACAGAGCTCCTGAGACCTAAAGACCCTATGCTGTTTTTATTCCTATATAAAAGGCAGCTGGGATCATAAAGAAAATTATCTGCATCTCAAAGGAACCACAGAATGGTCATCAGTGCACCTCTTTGGCCTCTTATGCCTCCTTCGCTTATACTGTCCCTTGGAGATCACAAATTAGAACTCTGGTGCTTGAAAAGCCCACGCATTACTCTGTGACTACCTGAAAGAACTCAGCTCAGAATTACAAAGTCCTCATTTATAGGAAATGCATATTCCTGCCTAGCCTAAAGCTGCCAACCTACAGCCTAGGACCCTTCACTGACTCCTATCCCTTGCATAATTAATCTTTACAGACAGGTGCCTGAGCGAACACCCCTCCCTACTAAAACAAAAACAAAAAAATCTTCACAGACTTTAAGTCATAAAGTGATCTGTCCACCACTCCCAACCAAACAACACAGTCCAGTGCTTCTCAGCTGTTTGCACTTTATGACCAACTAAGGAATTAATCTTTTTCAGAGATGACCCTAGGAGATTTCAGTGTGCCCTAAGGGTGAAGAACCTCTGATTTAGCAGGTATGTGCTACCTGTGCTCTCTGAGTCTGGTCTCAGAACTGGACCTTGAAGACACACTACCTTTTTCATTGGCTTCTTCATTCTCTCTTGCCCACATTCTAGGCCATGAGGAGAGACCACAGGCAGGTTTTTCTGCAAGGCGCCTTCCAGAGATATTTACAAATGGCATCTCATATTCTACAGTCCCATTATATGACTTCAGAATTTCTGAGGCTTTTCTCTGAACACTCTCCCAGGTATTCACATTCCTTTTCAGGTAAAGGTCAAAATACATGACACAGGATCCTGCAACAATGGTAGGACTACCTGTCTCTTGGATACAAAAAGCTTTTCTTCTCTTTGGCTCATTCAGGAGCAGATTTGATATAGATCACAGAAAAATATTCTTAGCATGTAGAAAAATCTGTACCTCATATTTTTCACTGTGAAATTTAATCCACTCATTGTTTGATACAAGCATAAAAGAGTCAGTTGATTCTTGTTCTAGACTGAGCAACATGTAGCAATAAGGCTAATTGCTAGCTAGTTCATTCAAATAAATCTTGCCTGCCTTAAAACTATCAATTTACTGGTTTATTATTATTCTAATGATGCTGCCATCCCTTAAAATGTCTCCAGGACTTCTGTTTGAACACTGAGTCAGAGCCCGTGTAATGAGCCATAAAAGTAAACTAGTCTCACTTTATTACCCATAATTTCTTTTTCACTTTTGACCCAGTCATATTGCCATGTTTACGGTGACAGGAGGAAAAGCCAAGTTCAGTGGCTTATATTCCTTTCTCCCAAGCCCAGATCAAGAACGAGAAAGTTTTTTGGTTTTTTGTTGTTATTCTTTTTTTTTATCCTATACATTTAAAGTTTTCCCCAATTTGTAGTGAATTTTCTTATTTCTTTATTTTTTATTTTAAAGATGTGGGGTACAATTCAGGGTTAGGTATACAAATGTTCATTATGCAGGCACCCTTGTTGATGAAGTAGTGTGCCCCCCCCCCATTCCCCAGCAGATTTGCATTACTACCAATTGTTCTTTTTTTTTTTGAGTTGATGTCTTACTCTGTCACCCAGGCTGGAATGCAGTGGCTACCGCAGCCTCAACCTGCTAGGCTCAGGCAATCCTTCCATCTCAGCCTTCCAAGTAGCTGGAACTACAGGTGCATGCCACCACACCTGGCTAATAATTTTTATTTATTGTAGAGTCTAGGCCTTGCCAGGTTGCCCAAGCTAGTCTTGAACCTGCGGGCTCAGGCAATCATCTCACCTCAGCTCCCCAAAGTGCTGGGATTATAGGCATGAGCTACTGCACCCAGCCAGAAGTTCTTTCTATTGCTTTTGTACACTCTCCCAGCACAACTCTTCCAAGTAGGAAGAGAGGTATCTTCTTTCCAATGATCCCAAAACAGTTCCCTATGCCTCACCCATCCACCCAGCCACCTACAACTCCCTCATTTCAGATGCGATGCTCAACCCCTATGTCAACTTAAATTACCTAATTACAAATTACTTATAGAAATTAGTAACATATAATTTATAATTTAGGCAACTACAAATAATGAGTACAAATTATGACATTTATATGTTTAAATGATATGTAGATAGATAGATAAAAGAAATAAACAGAAACAGCTTGGGTTTTGAGACCTAAAAAATCTGAGTCCAAATGTCAGAAGCACCATAAGTGAACGTGAGCATTTTGGTAACTCCTCTGAGCTTCAGTTTCTTCACTCAGTTCCTCCCTGCAGCTGATAAATCAGAACACCGACTGACACCTTCCTGTTAAGCCAGTTGTGATAATTAAATGCATTTATATATCACAAGTGTTTGTCACAAAACAGGTACAAACATATGGTTAATGAAAATACACGGACTTAAAACTGGACATCTTCATACAGTTTAAGATTTACACACAAAATTCTTGAGTCTGAATCTTTTTAATGGTCCTATTATCAGCTGCCTTTTCAAGTTGAAATACACTTCATTTTATCCTATAGGAGTAAAGAGAATGATTAACCCCTTAGATGAGGGTTGTATTTCTCTTTTCAAAAGTTTTTCCTGTTTAAGCATTTCTAGAATGCCTTCCAAGTGCTCGCGTAGTCCTTCACCTTCACTCCGTCCTATCGTTGGCCACAGCTTTCCAGTCGGTGAGCTGCAATGCTTACTCACAAGGAAGTCTAGGATGTCTGTACATACCTTACTAAAGAGGAAGTCATCAGAACATGGAAAAACAATCCCTACAGTACAGGTGCTGAGCAATTATAGAACACCGATACCCTCCATGGATTTGACATTGTCCACTCCTCAACTGTTCTCAAGCAGGCATTCCCAGGTCTCATGGAAGCCCAGTTAGGCACATTACCTTACCAACACTGGATAGCCTTGCCCCTGGGACGCCCCTTCTAGTGGCGAAGAGGTCGCTAGATCTCTGAGCTCAGTTCCAAACCAGGGAGTCTCTCGGGTGTCTGCGTCCATCTAATGTGAGGCAAATATCCCCAATCCATTCCTAGACAGGGCCCTCAAGGACTCACACAGCAAGTCCACAGTGGGGCCACCTACAATCAGATAATCTTTGTCCAATCTTTATTCTTCCGTAGTGTTCATATTTCCATTCAGAAATAAGGGTCCAAATTACTCTCCAGAGTACCTATAGAAGCCTACTTTACTGTATTTCCAGGAATCAATGCAGCGCAAAAGCAACGCTTTCAACTTTTGAATTTCCTGCTTATCCCTAAAATCAACAGTTGGGCCGCCAAAAAGGTGAGAGAGGAGGAGCGGGGCCTAGAAAGATCCATGGGGAGTTCCATGTCCCCAGCAAACCCAAGCCAATCTTAGGGGTTAATCAGAAGGTGGATGGCTCAGAATTCAAAGCTCTGATGTTTTACAAGCATTTGATGAGAGTGAATAATGTTCCGGTCACTGCGAGCGTTGAATCAGAAAAGACCCCAGTCAGAACATCGTCAAGGACACCCTTAGGGACTAGGGACCAAGGAGGGGAAAAAGCAAATGAGGCGTAGTCTAGTTTTTTGAGATAAGAATTTTGAAATTATTTTCTTTGAACCGAGAAAAGCAAGTTCACCGCCTATCCCCAGGCTACCCCAGCCCCTCCTCCCCTCTACTCTCCCCTAAGTCTCTTTCTTCATGCAGAATCAAATGGCCAGGCTGGGGAAGATTTGTCTGTCTGGGGGATGGTGAACCTAAATGAGGGGTGATGGGGGTGGGGAGTGATGGGAGCAAGAGGAGGGAGGGCATGGACGTGGCAAGGCAGTAAAGGTAAGAAGGAGGCCGAAGAGATTCTGAAGAAAAGGAGGGGACTCTATCATTTCCGTTCTCCCAACTTGAAAAAGAAGAAAAACAAAACAAAACTAAAAGTTACATCGCAGCCGAACCGGTGGCACAAAACCGTAACTTCAGCACGCTGGCAGGCCGAGGCGAGAGGATTGCTTGAGCCCAGGGGTTCGAGTCCAGTCTGGACAACTTGGCGAGACCTGGTCTCCACAATAAAGGAAAAAAGTAGCCGGGCGTGGTGGTTCACGCCTGTAGTTCCAGCTACTCGGAAGGCTGAGGCGGAAGGATCGCCGGAGCCCAGCAGGTCGAGGCTGCGGTGGCC